GAAAGGGGGCAGAATTAAAAGAATGACAGTCCCAGATTCTCTTTCCAGTATAATTGTGTCTGCAAACGCATAAGCAGATTAACGCCATTTCAATATTGCAATACATTTCACAGGAGGCTTTGATGCCAAATCATCTGGAAATTAAATCACAGGCATATGGCTTAATCTAAAGGAATGTAATAGTGAGTGCAAGACTGATTCAATTACTGTAATATCGTATTCAGGTATAAATGAATGTACTCTAAACCTTTTAAGGGAGATTGAATTTGCATGTTTTAACATATTTACATAATTCAGCACAATTCAACTAGATCTCAGGTTCAGAAAAACGTCGGGCCTGTAATGAATACATATATATGTCGATATTATCTCTCATAACTTATCTGTCACCCGTTTTTTCATTCAGAAAATTCGGTTCTGCTATTTTTATAGCTCGCTGCGGAAGAGCAGACGAACGCCGGGCGTCAGGGCTCCAGTCGGGCGTGTCTCGGGTCCGACTCCGTCTCCTACACCTGCAGATCTCAGTCCCGAGAGTAGCCGGGGTCGTGCAACTCCGGGTCCAGCCCAACTCTCGCCGGCTGCGCTTTCTTCCGCCCTGTCTTGCGTGAGCTCCTGCGGGGCGCTGGGCGAGCATGCTCATTGGGGCGCAGACGGGGGTTCCGTGGTTGTTTTGAAACGGCAGGCGGCGCGCTGGGTGGGGTGAGCAGACTCCGACTCCAGGCTGAGCATTGAGCTCTGTAGCGGAGCGGACCCGTCCCGTTTGTCCGACAGCATAGGGGAGAAGAGGAAAACCAGAACAAGACGAACGCGGGCGAGATGGGGGAGCTGAGCGAGGACTCGTTGCTGGATTACTTGCGTGCGGCGGGAGGGCGAGTGAAGAATTCGGACCTGCTGAAGGCTTACAAAGAGTACATCGGTCACAGCGACCAGCGGCTGCGCGGTGAGTACGGTCACGCGGGGACACGCTGTGTGCCCGAGCCGCGAGCCGCTGGGGGGGTCTCCTCACCCCCAGTCTGCAGCAGCGCTCGTGAACGGCGTTGCAGTGTCTTAACTGTCCGCCCGCGATCCCCCGAAAATATTCCCTCAACAGTTATTTTTTTTTTTGCTTTAGAACACAACGCCGTTACGCCATTTCTCAGCACGGTCTTAGCTTTCTAAAAACGTAATTACCCCCCCCCCAAAAAAAACCTTTTTTTCCCCTTTTTTTTCAAAGTTTTTTTTTTTTATTTCAGGCATATCGGGTTGCGTTTCGGGATAATGTAACTTCCTTTCTGTTGCGGTTTCAAGAACTTTCTTGGAAGTCGGAGGCATGTGAACTGCTCGTTTTGCTTGCGGGGTGGCGAGTGGGGTTTTGTAAGGAGAGCTCTGGCCGGCGTGGACTTTCCCGTGTCGGGCCGCCGAACCACGAATCTGCACTTTGCTGCTGAGGGGTTGAGCCTTGTCGCCTCTTCGCCATCTCCTCGCCATTAATCGGAGTCGGACGTTTCCAACACGTCCTGAGGGAACAGAGGTCTTATGCCGAAACAGTTTGATTTGTCGTCAGTCCAGTCCCCCCGTCCCCTCTCATTCGTCCCCTGAGTCCAAAGGGCGCAGTGGGGTCACCTCCCCCCACAAACACACCTTTGGTACAAGACTCCGTGGTTTAGTTCAGAAAAGGCTAATACACCTTCTCCTGCAATGAAACAATTTACTTGCATCAGTGTGCTCAGCTCAATGTCAACCCAGAGTGAACACTACTGATCTCAGACCCACACGGTGATGCAGACTGCTGTCTGTGGACAGTTAGTGACCAGTAATCAGAGCTTCTTGATTGCATTTGAGTGTTTGTGGAGTGTAAAGATACTCGTGCCCTGGTTTTTAACCTTCTTCCAGAGGCATAGTGATTAGGTTAATTGGTGTTTCCAATGTGTCCCTATCTAGCATGCGTCCTGCCTGTGCCCTGTGATGGACTGGTGTTCTGTCAATGTGTCCTGCCTTGTGTCCCATAATGGACTGGTGTCCTGTCCCCGGTGTGTCCTGCCTTGTGCCCTGAGATGGACTGGTGTCCTGTCCCCGGTGTGTCCTGTCTTGTGCCCTGAGATGGACTGGTGTCCTGTCCAGGGTGTGTCCTGCCTTGTGCCCTGTGATGGACTGGTGTCCTGTCCAGCCTGTGTCCTGCCTTGTGATCTGAGATGGACTGGCATCTGTCACCTGAAGAAGGCTCCACAGCCAAAACATTGTTTCTTTTCTCTTCTTTTCAGCAGGGAATAAACCTGTACTTGTTATTATCCTACACCGAGCAGGGCATGTAGCCAATAGGATGACGTAGTTTTCAATATTTAAATCTGCCAGTTGCATGTCTTAAATGTATTTGCAGTCTAGTATTTCTTGATGATTTTAATGACTTTTTATTCGGTCTCCTCTGTGTGTGTTGTGACCTGGCTGTTGCAGGAACCCACTGGCACAGTATCTGCTGGGAGAAGTGGTACAGTCTGGGGGGGAGATTGCAAGATGGCCTGAGATAAGGGCTGCCACTGAGGGTGTCCTGTTGCAGCAGTTATTTCCGAATGCCTCCTGAGTAAATAGTTCTGTATCAGGCACCCTGGCAGCTTGCTTTGTAAGTCTCCTGCTTTGGTAGGGAGGGTCAGTGTTTGGTCCCGAGTCCTTCATAACAGACTCGGTTGCTACGGCAGTTTCTTGCTTGGACTAATAGATAACTGGAAGTGTAAACTCATGAAAGAGTGACAAGCCAGGAATTCTGGTGTGGGCTGAGCGAGTGGCCGGTTCCTCCGCAGTTTCCTGTTCATCCACAGCGCCTGTGTCTGCAGGGACAGGATCGGATGGCCGGAGCAGAAACTGAGCTTTCTTATTCCCTCCCAGAACAGAAAGTGCCGAATTGCACGGGGTGTACTCAGGGGAGTGTTTTGTTTTGCTTTGGAAAGCTTCAGAGAAGTTGAATGTTTGCCTGTTACAGTCTTCCTCCTCTAGATCTTTTTAAAGAAACAGGCTGGTCAATAATATTTAACTACAGGTCCAGCGCAGAGGTCAATCGCAGGGCAGGGGAAGCTTCTCTCAGTTTTGCGCAGAGAACATTCCGACAGAACAATCCTTCAGCGGAAGTGTAAGGACACTCAGTCTTCTGGGATCGGGGTGTTATTTTAATTCCACTTCCTCCTGTGAGGGGTGGGGGGCTGGCCCCTTTCTCCCAGATGCGTGGACAGTGCTTGTTTTGCAATCGGAGCTCCGTGCTGACAGGAAGGCTCTGCCGGGAATCGCTGTCATCTGGCAGTCACAGGCAGAGGAAAAACGTCCCCATGTGTGTCCTCAGGCGTAGCAGTTTCTGTCTCCAGTCATCAAACACCATACTCCTCCCTTTGGAAAACCAGAATACTGGAAAGGCCCACGTGAGAGTTACCATGAACACTGGGCTAAAAACACCATCCCCTGTCAGTACCATTGCACAGCAC